AGTGTTCGATAAAATGAAAAAGACTCTAGTGGCTCCGTATCTTTGCCCCCAAGTCTACAGTTGGGAGCATCAGTACCTACCTAGTACGTAAAATGCTTTTTTTCCTTTATGGGATAAGCCGGTAAACGAGCAGACGATCACGTGATGGTAAGCAATCGGCGTCGCCCATGGACACCTGGAATACCAGAGGCGTTACAAGTGCTTTACCGGCCTTTTGAGATTAGGAATTTGAAGATTGTTGGGGATTCAGGGATTGGGGAAAGATGAGGGGGAGGGGTAATTGCGCCTCCGGTAACTCACACGACGAAACACAACGCAAGTGTTATTTCACGCCGGTGAGGAAGCTTTGAGGAAAGTAGGTACGGAAATCCGATCGGTAATAAAATAAAAATACAAATCATAAAATATTTTAACTGCATACAATCACGGTATGCCCTTGCATTTACCTATTTATATAATTTATTCAATATCTATGACCTTGACCCCTGAAGACGACAAATTACTGCTGCAGGTTCTTTCAAAAAGCAGATTGTAGCTCATCAAGCTATATTTAGCTGCCAAAGTTCTACAATAGATAGTCAACTTTAAACCAAAAGCATAAAGTTGAAATTGTGTTTGAAACATTTTAGATTGGTGTAATTTAATGTGCTGCCCTCTGTACCAAAGGGGGCCAGGCACACGTTTCAGTAAGAAGGGTAACTGTAGGTACCTCCCTCTATTTATCTAATGTCATTATTACGACTATAAATAACTAACATTGCAATTACCAAGTATTCTTTGAATATTATGGGATGCTATGGAGTTTTAGAACGCAATGAGCCAATGACTAAGTACATACCTACTTTCTTGCGGTGGATCCTTGAAGGAATGCCGCCAATTCCAATCAATCAACTCAGTATTTTCTACTCTATGTTACCAAGTATTTTGCTTTCACTGAAAAAATACAGAGTAATCGATAAGACCAATAATTAATGTGGTGTAGGTACCTACCGATTAAGCGCTTACTCTTCAACAGCATTTTTATAAATAACAAACCGCTTATACTTACCGCGATTTTTTTTTAAAACTGACAGAAACTAAAACTTTTTAATTGGGCACAGATAACGAATACTTTTAATTTTGTTTTTTAAACATTATCTTTGTTGTCACGATTGTGCAATATAGATAGCTTCTAATCTAGATCTACACTTGTGTGTATATTGTGACGGATAGACGCACCCACTGACAAACAATTTACATCATTGGCCCGTGACCTTAGGGTCAGTTTTCATATTGATACTGTTAAACATGTACTGTGATGTAAGAAGGTCATTTAAGATGTATTGAAGTTATTTAAATCGACCGCAGATGAGTTCAAGTAGAGTAGAATAAAACTTAACATCGTTATTTATTAAACATTTCACATTTAATTTGGTACGAGTAGTAACGGGTTCCTACAATACACAAATATATTTTAGCATTTATCTCATTAGTCCAGTCTAGTGGCTTCAATCAAATATCGCTGTCAGCGCCAAACTCCAGTACTTCCAGTAGTATTAATGTGAGCCTGGAGGCTGGTATTGGCCTTTCGGACTTGACTAATAGACTACGATCGAGTTCAAATCCAACCTAGTATCGGGTGTTCTATAAATCTGCTCCGAATTGAAAGAAATCAATTTCAATTGAAAGAAACCTTTAATCTAACCTACTTTCGTAGCAGTTTCACTAACGATAGTTGAAGTTTTATAGGGCATTGTACGGCATTGAGATGACATTACATTACTTACTTAACTTCGCGTGCAAATAAATAAGAAATCCTAGCAAACTTTCGGATACAGTCTCAAATAATATGATGATTTTCTACAGAATTGAATAGTTTCCAGGGTATCAAAATTAAAAATCTAATTAGTCCGTCAGTTAGATAATGAAAAAATATTAGACATGTACTTTTTTTTCTCGTATTAAGTTGCAATATTTAGATAAAATGGCGCTAAGTTTAGGAGGGGGAAGTTGTTACGTCATAACGTGCCATAAAATGTGGCACGCTGTGACGTCACACGATATTTCAAATATCGTTAAGTTTGTGAGAAAAGAAAATATACGTTTCTAAAGTTTTAACTCGTCGAGTACCGGTTTTATAGACACAATTAAAGAACAATAGGCCGCGGTCACCGGTGACCGCTTGGTGTTTGACAGTTTAAATTAACGTATCAGACGGACATTAAAATAAAATTTTAGGAAACTACCCTATTCATGGACATGGATACTTTAGAATACCAAACCTAGTGACATTCCGCATCGATCACTTCACTAATCCCACGCAGCATGATTTTTTTTAATTTGCTCATTTAGGGTCCCCGTTGGGACCTTAGATAAGATAGATACGAGTCCCGTGGTATTTTGCCTGCTTTGCCACGGCTTCATTGCCAACAAACCTCACTTGTTTGGGGTTGAAAAAAAAACGCAAACGATTCCAGGAAACATAAAGATTGGGTCTAAGGTTTTTTTACTATGCAACAGGGGGCGAGCGAATACTTATTGTGAGCAATAAAATGCCCTTTTTGCTACACCTTTTCTAACAATGCTTTTAGTAAAAGGCAAGAAAAGAAACGAAACGTATTTGGAAGAAATTTTAGTTTCGAGAAAGCTTTATTGGTCTGTAAACTTAACGCACCATAATCTAGAACTGTAACGGTATCGGGCAAACAGTGGTATAATAATAATAATTATTATTGTTGAACTTACATTTATGTAGGTAATTTAGGTACACTCCGAAAGAAAATTCCGTCATCGTTTTTTGGAAAACGGATGAGTTTTTTGTATCTGCACGGCCCATACCTATGTAAGTGGCAGTGTCTTGTAATTCAGTAGTTACTTAGTGGTTCAAAGTACCCTCATTACTCCAGGAAAATGATGTAAGATAGGTAATAGCAGTCAGGAGGCGATGGCAATGTCTTTCAGCCACGACGTCATAACTTGCAAGGCTAACTGGCGGTCACGAATTACGTTTGTTTATGAATGAATCCGAATTTAGAACAATAGTACTGTGAGACTGTGACATAACATTACGTGTAATCGAATCGATCTTTATTTTCCTCCAATCCCTTGTCTGTAAGGTTTAAAATTGCAGAGCAGAAACATTTTTGACCGTAGCAACAATTTTATTCACAACCGCCGAATTCCGTATTTAAACTGCTTATAAAAAAAAACAAACTCGTATTTGATGTGACGTCATCATAATTCATGAGAATGAGACAAAGTCCGACGATTCTTGGCGCGTGGGTCGTTATTAGAGAAATTAAATTACGCATTTGTTTTGACTAATTGTTGAGTAGACAATTTTTGTTTTTCAGTGCAATTACCTAGTCATGTTCTATGGATATTATGTAGAAAATTTTTAGTATGGTATTGTACGACAATAAGCTATCGAGCAAATTCAAAAGCATTTATTTTAATTAAACCTTCGGTACCTACTTTTGAAACGTCAACAAAATATAAGATAAATAATAGTGTGTCAGTCTAACTGTCAATGAACCTAGGCAAATTTCAGAATAGGCCCTTATAAAGAAAATTGTCATTTACAGGAAAAATGTTATGTTATGACATGTCATAACTATGTAGTAATTAATAATAAAATAATGCTTTAGTTAAATCCTTTTTTATTACCTTAATAATAGGTATCAGAACCAAATATACATAATTCTTTTTTATAAATTTAGAAAAAAAATATACAGAGGCAATGTTTTTCTTTTCTATACATCAATCAGATATGCCAATTACAATAATAGCCCTGAATAATTATACATCACATTTATTAAGATAGAATGCCAATTAAAAACTGTTTTTATTATGGACTTATCTGAAAAAGGGTAAAACTTAATACATTTTATTTCTAGATAGTTGTAACACAAACAACTTATACTATAGAAGAAAAAAAACAAAAATTAATAAAAATAAACAGCAGGATGTTACATTACACTATTCATTTCACAATGCTTTACACCAAATTCAATTCTAAGCTCTACTTGTTTAGGCACATTATAAATCTTGCACACTACACAGCGATCAGGCAAAAAATAAAGATGAGTTCATCAAAAACATCATCAAAGTTCATTTATTTATATGAATTTGATAAAGAATATAAAAACAATGTACTTGATAAGATAATGCTGTTTCTAAATGTAATTTCATACAGCATCATGCTTGCCTAATTCTTATATTAAATTAAACAATTTTACAAACATATTAGGCCATTTACGAAAGACCGAAAATGAGCCTTATTCATACATTTTTTTGCTTAATTTCAAGAACAATTTTAACATGGTTATAAGGACGAAATTAGAACAGATAAACATTAACATCCTAACTGGACTTACAGATACAATAGACATATGTTTAACAACTAAAATGTCTTTTATTTTATAAACTAACAATTGATTTTTTCTAGTAACAGTTGGTGAGGTTCGTTGGATGTAGGTTAACAGCTAAAAATTACAAATGCAGACCTAGTTTCCAAATAAATGATAATGGAGTACATGGAATGAAGTGTTAACTGGCAGATAAAAATATTTCCAAGTTCCAAAATTCATCATGATACGTTTGAAATGGCATTTTCAAAAATTAAGACACAACTTTTAATGCGCTCCACTCAAAAATCAAGAAGAGCTGTTTTATGTAAAACAAAGATTGGTTGTATCTTCACACATCTGTTTTTCGTCTAAATAATACATTTTAACTTCTTAACAAATTAATCACTTACTTGTTTATCACCTCATGTAATCCTAAAGGGAACAAAGCTCAGTGAACTGAGCTCCAACAAAAATCTTTCTCCACTTCATACTTCATAGTAAACTAACATTTTATTTTTCATAACAAATATAAATGTAACACTAAGTAAGTTATACTCAAGCCAATAACAGTTATGTTACGAGTTGCATGCCATTTTATTTTATGATACGAATCATAACACTCACCTATATTATAGTAAAATATCATATTTATGTAAAATAAAGAAAATTATACTAATATGGAACATTAGAAAATAGGTAGGATACAGACTCTCCGTTGTGTGTACGTCTCACAGCCTCCGCAAGCATCATAGACACATCAATACACTGGATTTTGGGACACTCCTGCATGTGCCTCTCTTGCGGGATTGTGTTTGTGACTACAACAGCTTCTAAACATGCATTGTTGATCCTTGAGATGGCAGGTCCAGAGAAAATACCATGAGTGAGTATAGCATACACCTTGATGGCTCCAGCTTCTATGAGTTTCTCTGCAGCATGGCAGATTGTTCCACAAGTGTCTGCCATGTCATCTACCAGGATGGCTGTCCGGTCCTTCACATCACCAACAAGTACCATTGAAGCAACCTCATTTGCCTTTTTCCTCTCTTTGTGAATCAAAGCAAACTCTACATTCAGCCTGTCAGCAATAGATGTGACTCTCTTGGCTCCTCCAGCATCAGGTGACACCACAATACTGGTCTTCCAGTCAGGAATATTTTCTTTGATCCACTTCAAAACAGCAGGCTCAGCAAAGAGGTTATCCACAGGAATGTCAAAGAATCCTTGAATTTGCGACGCATGGAGGTCCATTGTGATGATGTGGTCGGCACCAGACACTGACAGGATGTTGGCAACCAGTTTTGCAGTAATCGGCGCTCGACTCTTGTCTTTTTTGTCTTGTCGCGCGTACGGGAAGCACGGAATCACGGCTGTCACTCGAGATGCAGATGCAATCTTACAAGCGTTGATCATGATCAATAGCTCCATGAGATTGTCGTTAATCTCACCGCTACCACTCTGCACAATATAAACATCCTCGCCACGTACGGATTCACCAATTTCCACGCATGTTTCCATGTTGCTAAACTTCTTGGTTACTACCTTTCCTAGATCGATTCCCAAGCGATCCACGATCTTCTGCGCCAGGTCTGGGTGGGAGCTCCCGCTGAACACTTTGATGTTAGGCATTCTGGTGGTTAGTGGTAAAGTTAAGTGATCTAATTTATTCACTACTTCTTGGATAGTTACGGTTGATTTCATCAGCACAGTACCGATATGACTCCTCGACCGTCACTCGCGATATATGTGACGGGAATAACAAGATGAACTATTTATGTGTGTCTAATTACCGATAAGAGACACCAGCGGCAACGTGGGGACCCGCCGCGCTGTGCTGTAAATACGCACCGCACTTGACCACACCGCGTTCGTCTCGTCTCGCACGTTTTTTATTTTACTAAAATTGATTTGACCTGTCAAGAATGTCAAGTACGATGAACTGTTTATGTTAGAATCGGAGTGCCAAATTATTTTTACTATTTTAAAATTGTTTTGTGTATTTATAATGAAAGAAAATTAGTTGAAACAACATAGAGAAGAGAATGAAATTAAGTTTTTCACTTAGGTCTTTTAAAACTAAATTATTTTACAAAGCTTATTTTAAAAATACCAACAATTAAAATTGTATGGCAATACTGTCTTTAAAAACGAACATTCACGATGTCGATAACAGAAAACTTACCAAACAAGTTTTTTTCTGGTTCATTTATCTTTCATTATATTGAGGAAATAGATTCCTTTGCTAAAATATAGATTAATGGCGCTAGCCATTAGAATCAACCTAGAATGCAACAAATTTATCATCTCAAACTTTCTTTTCGTTCCGATTAATCGACTAATCAACTAATCGTAGACAATTATAGATAGACGTGATTACACTACACGAAACACGACATGAAGTTCCGTTCCCGCGCTGTTTCCTGTCAGCTGTGTTTTGATGTAGCTGTCAATGTCATTAAAAATAACAGAAACTTCGTAAAAATTTCGTATTAAAATTTGTTGTAGGACGCGTTACTTTATGAAAATCGCATGTTATTATATTTTTATTGAAAAAATCAAGACATATTATTGCTATACTCCTTAAATTATTTTATCCATCTTCAATTTCTCTTAATTAGGATGAATGACAAAGGTTAAAAAGTGATTACATCAATGATGTATTACTGGAGCACCTCAACGTGATGGTCTTAGAGTATCTACAATGATGATCGTGGCAAAAGTTAGTGAAAAAGTTTAAAAGAATCTATGCCGTGATAAGATTCCTCCAAAGCATCAAAGATGGGTGAGAAATCTGGCAATAGTAAAGACGACAAACACAAAGTTCGTCGATGTATGGAATGGTTGCAACAACAGAATAATGAAGGCACAGAGAAGTTATCGTTAGGAAATAAGAATGATATACAGTTTATTATACAAACCCATGCTGCAAGAAAGAACTTTTTGCTAGCTGTGGCTGAGGACGATGCGACCGTGCCTAGTGGCATCAACGAACCCGTTTTGGAACCTAAACCTGTGGTAAGTCAAAGTCAAAGCATTTATTTCAATTAAACCATAATTTGGTGCTTTTGAAACATCAACAAATCCAAAATAAATAAGTCTGTCTGTCAGTCCGTTAGTGAAGCTAGGTGGAAGCTAGGTGCTCATTCCAAAACATAGATTCGAATGGAGAAGAACGAGAAAGAAACTTAATTCCTCTTTTTAAAAAAGTATGTTCTACAATGTCTCTGATACATAGAAAAAGGACACTCTGTTTCAATAAGAAAGAAATGCTCTATGCCAGTTTTCCTGTGAAAGAGTTTCTATATTTAAAAATCTACCGTTTACTTACTTATTTTATGGTTTAGATATTAATAAATATAGGTAGGTTGTGATAAATGTAAGCATTATGTATGTACTACACCTAATTATTTGGCATGAGTTTCCCGTTAATAGTTGTATTATTTCAGTGCCTGACTAATGTACTTTGTATGGTTGTTGAAAAGTTTAGCTGTTGTAATGTAGCTCCGTCTCATTGGTTCATTAACTGCTCAATCTCCAAGTGGTCACCAGAACCACTCTCCACTAACTCGATTATAGACCTTATTTCCGATGTTTGGAGACTACTTAAATAAGAACAAATTTTTGATATGCTATATCAATATATTAATAAACATATTGTGATTGAAATAGATCTAAAATAACTGTTTGTTATTCTTTTTTAAGCACACACTAATGTTTTCCTCTGTGTTATGGGTGTATTAACAAATGCAGTAGATAGATTTTATAAGTTAACGTAATCAGTGTATTTAAAAGAATGTGTTTATTTCCAGACTCGCTACAGACTCCGTGTTTCCAACTTGCAAATGGAATGTGAATGGCCAACATGCAAGAAGATGTTTACGGACTACGAGGTATACCAGAAACATGTTAGAAAACATGCTACGGACATGCATGTTATAGAGAAGGAATCTAGCGGTGAGATATAGTACAATTCCTATTTCGGTAGTGTCACTGTTTTCTATATTTTCTTGGGTTGTCTGGTGACCTCTGCTCGGTGTTGTTGGGGTGTTATATAGATTTTTTTTATATTCGGTAGCTATTGTAAGGATTTCGTTTCTGTGCTGGGTTATGCCCCCTAGGTTATTCAAGCTGTCAATCCAATTCTTGTAAGTTTGTAGTTCCTTTCACCTTTTTTTACATGATAGGAGATATAGTAAAACACTTTTAATGTTTTTAGTACAAAGTCGCTTGGTCTATGACATGAATTTTTAAAGATTTATCTTGTGATCTCGGAACCAGTTTTTCTTTCTATATTTTCCTGTTAAATATTTATGTCACTTCCCTCATCTGTATAAAGTTTTGTATCTACACCAAGAAGAGAACCAAGACTGCTCTATACTTTTTATATTATGCTTACTATTTATATTTTACTAGCTTTTACCCGCGGCTTCGCTCGCGTCACAAAAGGATCACAGTAGCCTATGTGACATATACCAATACACACAGCGCCTTCTATACCAATACTTTCGTTTTTCCTCGGGAATATCAATTTTTTCCGGGTTAAAAAGTACCCTATTATTTAATCCGGACTTCTAACTTTACGTCTGCAAAAATTCAAAGCAATCGGTTGAGTAGTTACGGCGTGAAGGTGGAACAAACAAACAAACAAACAAACTCACTTTCAGATTTATAATATTAGTTAGGATATTAGTTAGGATAGTTAGGATTACTTTTTAAAATTTATATTTTACTAGCTATTGCCCATGACTTCGTTTGCATAGAATATGATTCCTGTTTTATCCCATGGGAGCATTTAATCGGGATGAAAAGAATCCTTTCACCTAAGTCAGCCCATACCCTGCCTGTATACCAAATTTCATCAGAATATGTTCAGTAGTTTCAGCATGATTGACGCACAAACATCCAAACAAAGAAACTTTTACATTTATAATATTAGTGTGATATACGAATTCTATTATAGAATCTAACTTTGTCAATATTCCTCAAAATAAAATGAACTTAAACTGTCAAACACCGCAAGGACACCTGTGACCGCAACCAATTGTTCTTTAATTGTGTCTATAATGACGGTACTCAAAGGATTAAAGCATTAACCCGTGGTACGTTATTCCAGATCTATGTGGGACACAATGTGTTTTCTATTGTCTTATGTACTGACATTCAAGCGGTTAATAAAATAATTCATTCATCAACAGCCTATAAATGCTCACTGCTGAGCAAAGCTTCTTCTCACACGGAGAAGGTTTGACCATTAATCACCATGCTTCCTCATACAAACTTATAAGCCCAGGTTTCCTCACGATGTTTTACATCATTTATCTGTCAGTTGTGTCTAAATAATCTTACAATGTACATATAACTCGGAAAAAGTCACATTGGTACTTGCCGTTGGTAGGTTTTGAACCCTACTCTCGTACGTGACAAGCGAGCGTCTTAAACCTCCAGGCCACTACGACAATGATAATACAAGAAATAATTTCAAACGAAAATACTAATTTCAGCTGAATTGGTCTGCCTCTGGGATGTGTGTGGGCATAAGACATCGGACTTCAATGAAATGGTGCGTCACATGAACTATCATGCTTACCATGGCAAGTTACTGGCAATCGGCTTCAATGGCCGGACGACCCTCAAACTGGAGTGCTGTAAGAAGGACTCCAGCAAACGAAATCAGATACCGGTACAAGTTAGTGATTACACTTGTATGTGGGTTAAGTGTGACATGACATTTACTTCGATACAGGTAACTTATTGTTTTTGTGTTATACCTATACTCTTACATAACATCAAAACTTTTATCCCCGAAGAGGTATGCAGATCCTGGCAGGGTCGCCATGCAATGTGGAGCAATGAGGGAGACGTGTTACTGTTACGAATGTCTTTAATTAAGTGTCTTAATAACTGTCTTACGCTACTTACTTAAAGGGCGAGGTGTCACACACACTACAGGTGCACATTACGGCACTTAATGCCACTGTACAATGTAACACCCACCTTTCACTGAGGTGAGCCTATTGCCATATACCAGGCACAATTCCAGACTCCATGCTACTACTGAGATTTTATTCTTAAACTGTCAAACACCGAGCGGTCACCGGTGACCACAACCTATTGTTCTTTAATTGTGTCTACAAATACCGTACTCAACGAGTTAAATCCCAGTAATACTTAACATAACCCGGGACCCGAGCCCGGCAGTCGCACTTGCGACCACTCGGCCAACGAGGTAGACTTACAATCCTCTATTAGACCATTAGTGTTATGTATGTTGTTAAAAAACAAAGGGTTCATAGGATGAGGTATGTTAAGGATGTATATCTGTTCAACCTCCCTTTACTTATTAGGTACTTTACGATAATTATGTTTGATCGAGTCTTCTCTATTATGTTTCACTAAATTATCTAAAAATCGCGGATGTACTGAGACGTGAAAATACTGAAAAAAAAACTCAAATAATTTCGAACCACAGAGTGGTTCTTCTTCATGAGCAGTGTGCGCGGTCGCGGCGATGTCGCGCAGTCTAAGTAGGCTCTTCGAATCGCGGAGAACCTAACGGGTAACCGGGGCTCCGGCTCGACGCGCAGGAACGGCGTGGTTTTTAGTCAGTAAGAGTCTGACACTCCCTCCCGCCTCACCCGGGCGGGAGTAGTCATTCGATAATTTTCCCCACTAAAAAAAAAGTAGGCTCTTCAAGACCCTTCTGTGGTTCAAAACTAGTAGAGCTTATCTCAGTATTTTCACGTGAGTAACCCGCGATTTTTATAAAAACATATTTTTCACAAAATAATACTCCCATCTTAATTAATTTCAGACGTTCATAGACCACGTGAATCTCCATGCGAATTACTCTGAAGACTACATATGTTCTTGGGCTGGTTGTGGAGCGAAGTTTCCTCGGAAAGCTATGCTCATCCCACATGTACGGAGTCACACAGGGGAGCGACTGATTGCTTGCTATCACTGTGGACATCACTTTGCTAATAACAGGAAGCTTACTGATCATTTGCGGAGACAGGTAATTTGTGTAGGTTTTTATGGGTTAAGGTAGCTAACCAGCAGACTGATGGTAAGCAATGAGGGCTTCGGAGTCGCGGAGAACCTAACGGGTAACCGGGGCTCCGGCTCGACGTGCAGGAGAAGGAACGGGGTGGTTTTTAGTCAGTAAGAGTCTGACACTCCCTCCCGCCTCACCCAGGCGGGAGCAGTCATTCAATGATTTTACCCCCTTTAAAAAAAAGCAATGAGCCCTCATTGCTTTTTTCCCATGGAGTCCCGAAACACCTGAAGAGTTACAAGTGGACCTCTGGGTAACCTCACTCACACGGCTAAATACAACGCTCCGGTTTTCTGTGAGGCCGTGGTATCACTTCTGTGGAGCCGGCAGTATTTTATATACATTGTGGTAGATCTAAGTGTGGGAGAGCCATGCTTCGGCCCGATGATACGATGGCCTCACAGAAAACCGACGTGAAGCAACGCTTGCGTTGTGTTTCGTCGTGTGAATGAGGTTACCGGAGGCCCAATTATCCTCCCTCCCCAGTCTTCTCAATCCCCGAATCCTCCACAATCCTCAAATTTTTAATTCTCAAAAGGCCGGTAACGCTCTTGTAACGCCTTGGTGTTCCACGATGACGCCGATTGCTTACCATCAGGTGATCCGTCTGCTCGTTTACCGGCTTATGCCATAAAAAAAAGTTGAACCTTTTATCCACTTATATCCATCATAGACGAGAAATATTCCCAGGTCCACAATTGAGATGGTATCATAGGTAGGGAGGCTAAATGAATGTTATCAAGAAAAAGTCAAGCCGACAGTTTTTTTTAAAAAACGTGTCCCCACACTAAGGTTTTTTTCTGTGTCGTGGGTGCCTTTACAAACATACAAGTTCACATACACATGACACCCAGACCCGGAACAACAATCTGTGGATTTGAACGTGGAACCCGCGACACGTTGCGCGGCAGTCAATAAAGTAAATTTTTGAATTCCAGAATGTGACGCAAAATTCGATATACATTTGCTCGGTGTGCGGCACGCGGTGCGCCACGGAGTACTTACTGGGCGAGCACACGCGCGGACACATCAGTATGTTCGCGTGCAGTCTGTGCGACATGTCCGCCACCTCGCCCGCCGCGCTCGCCAACCACGTGCGCTACCGACACCTGGCCCGGGGGGAGGCGGCCACTCACGCGTGCCCCCATTGTCCTTATAAGTAAGTGTTTGTATTCGCGGCCACATCACTATGTTCGCGTGCAGTCTGTGCGACATGTCCGCCACCTCGCCCGCCGCGCTCGCCAACCACGTGCGCTACCGACACTGGCCCGGGGGGAGGCGGCCACTCACGCGTGCCCCCATTGTCCTTATAAGTAAGTGTTTGTATTCGCGGCCACATCACTATGTTCGCGTGCAGTCTGTGCGACATGTCCGCCACCTCGCCCGCCGCGCTCGCCAACCACGTGCGCTACCGACACCTGGCCCGGGGGGAGGCGGCCACTCACGCGTGCCCCCATTGTCCTTATAAGTAAGTGTTTGTATTCGCGGCCACATCACTATGTTCGCGTGCAGTCTGTGCGACATGTCCGCCACCTCGCCCGCCGCGCTCGCCAACCACGTGCGCTACCGACACCTGGCCCGGGGGGAGGCGGCCACTCACGCGTGCCCCCATTGTCCTTATAAGTAAGTGTTTGTATTCGCGGCCACATCACTATGTTCGCGTGCAGTCTGTGCGACATGTCCGCCACCTCGCCCGCCGCGCTCGCCAACCACGTGCGCTACCGACACCTGGCCCGGGGGGAGGCGGCCACTCACGCGTGCCCCCATTGTCCTTATAAGTAAGTGTTTGTATTCGCGGCCACATCACTATGTTCGCGTGCAGTCTGTGCGACATGTCCGCCACCTCGCCCGCCGCGCTCGCCAACCACGTGCGCTACCGACACCTGGCCCGGGGGGAGGCGGCCACTCACGCGTGCCCCCATTGTCCTTATAAGTAAGTGTTTGTATTCGCGGCCACATCACTATGTTCGCGTGCAGTCTGTGCGACATGTCCGCCACCTCGCCCGCCGCGCTCGCCAACCACGTGCGCTAACCGACACCTGGCCCGGGGGGAGGCGGCCACTCACGCGTGCCCCCATTGTCCTTATAAGTAAGTGTTTGTATTCGCGGCCACATCACTATGTTCGCGTGCAGTCTGTGCGACATGTCCGCCACCTCGCCCGCCGCGCTCGCCAACCACGTGCGCTACCGACACCTGGCCCGGGGGGAGGCGGCCACTCACGCGTGCCCCCATTGTCCTTATAAGTAAGTGTTTGTATTCGCGGCCACATCACTATGTTCGCGTGCAGGCTGTGCGACATGCCCGCCCGTAGCGTAGACAAGCACCCGTGTTAAAAACCTAAAAGAAGCAGGTGTTGGACTTAGAAACTCCTTTTTTAAGTCGTTTGAAATATTTACCAACTTACATTATAACAATTCCACAGAGCAATAAGAAGATGGGATCTCCGCCAACACGTGAAAACACAACATAAGAAGAAAAAGAAAAAACTGAGATCAAAGAAGATCAAGTCTGAAGAAACTTCTGATAAGGAAATATCTTCTGACATCGATGGAGATTCTGAATCTGATTCGGATAGTAAGGAAAGAAAAGTGAGGAGATCTGATAGGAAATATGTATGTCACATGTGTCCAGAGAAGAATATGAAAATATTTACCAAAGGGAATGCATTGACTATGCACTTGGTGAAGGAACATGGTGCCCAGTGGTCCTTTGGTCATAGCAGATTTAGGTGAGGAAATATATTATTTTATGCTGCTCGGCTCCTATTAATCATAGCGTGATGTTTTATAGCCTAGGAAGGTACAGAATAAGGAAATGATAAATAATGAAAGGTAGGTGAGCAGCCTACATCACCCCCCTCCAGAAAAGGATACAAGCCTACACCTTCAACAATAATTCACTATCGATTAGACAGTGCATTTATTGTTGCAAACAAAAATAATTCTTTAAATTGGACCAATAATTTTAAAGATAAGTGCGTTCAAACAAACTTTTCAACTTTATATATCAGTAATAAGAAATATAAGTATATTAGTGTATATTCAATTGATTGAAAGCAAGAATATAATAACTGACGTTAAGATATTCAAAATTGATATCTATTTAGTAGGTTTGATAGTTGTTAAATGAATTAATTTTACCACCTTTAATTCATCATGAACAACTGATGATAGTCCACTGTTGACTTATTTTTTAATGGGACAATTCCGCCATAACCTCCCATAACCGCTGCAACTCCTGTAAGCCAGGAATTACAGTAGATAGAACCATGAAAACACCGGAATACTCAAGTCGCGCGCGTCGCAGGGACATGAATAACTATCTTGGTCCCCGCAACGAAATTAATCAGAAGATATAAGAGGAGAAGAAAAAACTATAGTTCCCACTTCCTCAGTGAATGAACCATTGTAGGACTATGGCCTAGGGCTTATTCTACAAAAAAGAGGTTTGCTATCTCCACACATAACGATTTTGTTTTAAAACTACAAATCCAACCCGCTTAGGTTTATCAGTCTTATTAAAAAATGTAGTCCCTTAGTCGGCTTTGACGACCGCAGAAAGAGCAGATTTGGCAACTAATGTTAACCTTTTCTACGACCGGCATTTTTTTTTGTTTATGGCATAAGCCGGTAAACTAGCAGACGGATCACCTGATGGTAAGCAATCGGCGTCGCCCATGGACACCTGGAACACCAGAGGCGTTACAAGTGCGTCACCGGCTTTTTGAGGATTAAGAGTTTAAGGATCGTTGGGGATTCAGGGATTGGGGAGATTGGGGAAGGGGAAGGTAATTGGGCCTCCGGTAACCTCACTCACACAACGCAAGCGGTGCTTCACGTCGGTTTTCTGTGAGGCCGTGGTATCACTCCAGTCGAGCCGGCCCATTCGTGCCGAAGCATGGCTCTCCCACACTTAAAATATTATATTATGTCTTATACTAATTATTTATATGTATAATTTCCAGATACCAACTATGCGAAGATGGACTGTACAGGTTAACTACAACACGCTACGAATCGTTAGAAGTATCAAAGAAGATTATGGATGGTTACACAAGTCCGAAGAAAATAGTCTTAACTAACATACAATTTAAGTTGAGACAAATTGCCAATGCTACGGCAACTACACCAAGAAGTTTCGAGATCACATTGAAGAATGATGAAATCAAAAAGGACGATGATCATGATGACATGGAAGTTGATACAAAACCGATCCGTGATGACAATGTAGAGATTATGATGTGCGATGTCGATGAAGATGGGAACATCATCAGTAGTGAGTTAATTAATTCTGTCATTCCGAAGCTGGAGAAGGAGGTTTGATGTTGTATCTATTTTAAGAGACATTATAAATTAATTATGTTTATAACGGTTTACAAACTAAACAGTTTGATTAGGTAACTCGACTATAGTCGACACGATTTAACTCGTCGAGTACCGGTTTTATAGACACAATTAAAGAACAATAGGTCGCGGTCACCGGTGACCGCTTGGTGTTTGACAGTTTAAGAGGTCAACTCTAACGTTTGTCAATCCATGTACCGCTATAACTTGTTATAACCTCCTGTGACGTCCATGTATTTACGCTATTTCGGAAGTTCTTAAGATATTATATTTTCTAATATATTATATAAATTTTAACTCTATATGACTTTGGAATCGGTCTTAAACAGCATGCCATCTATGTATCTCCCACTTAATGGTTGCTGTCAGTTTTTTTTTTGATAAGGAAAATCATCCAATGACTTTTCCCGCCCGGGTGAGGCGAGAGGGAGTGTCAGAGTCTTATTGACTAAACCGTTCCTACCCTTGCATGTCGACCGTAAAGTCCTCCGCGGCTCCGAGCTGTCACTGTCAGAGTTGATTGTGTCGTGTTCCTTTTAGATTGTGTCGACTATAGTTTCAAGCCACGCTAGGAACTTATATTTCAGATGGCAGCGCGTCGTGTGACAAGCAATATTGCTCTTAAATATGTTGGTTGATGCTAACATGGCTTGAAACTTGTTAAGTTACCTAGTCTAATAGTCGCGATTGAGCTGTTAAACATAAATAATAAATTAATTAGTGTTATATATAAGCAATATTTGCCTTTTCACATTTTGTATGAAATGTTTATTGTTATATAATTGATAGTTGTGACGATACGCTTATGATAAAATAATTATGACGTTGTGTGTGGGGTTTTAGTAGTACAGGGCCGGACTCTGGATAGACGGGCCCCAAGTCGCAATGGCCCAGAGCCCCGAGGTCAAGTAAAAAAGGTCGTGTTATTTTTATGTGCCTGGTATGGTCAGGCTAGTTACAGACCGAGTCTGAGTACAGAATGAATTCAAAGTGATGAAAATCATCATCATCATTATAACCATCAGCCCATCCACTGCTGGCTGATGGGGATCAGGAATAGGATGTCCGGTAGCTTCGGTAACGTTACTGACACCGCGAAAGAGCCCAAGTTATATCCTCATAAGAATTTAATAACGCTGTATTAGAATAGAGTAGCTATTATATTTCAATAGATAAGAGGACTTGTATATTTTAGGTATAGATTATATATTTTTGATTATTATTTTTTGTTTTATGTGCATAAGTACTTATTTAGTGATGTTAGCTATAGATACTTTTTGACCCTTTGACCTGATAAGGTGTTTGACTATTTGCTTATAATGTGATTATGAATGTTAACGTTGAATGTGTTATAAAAATGATTTGTCAGAACAATTTTATCGAATGCAATATTGAAATAAAACTATATTTTCTCTATTTTGCATTTTATTTTTAACAAAAAGTATATAAAACATCAATATGTTTGCAATATAGTATTGTCTGAAGATAATTTTGCACTTAACCACTTAACAAGGGTAAAAAAATAATGTGCAAAACTATCTTCGAAAATCCATAAACGAATAATTACTTAAATCCAAACTTCTTGAAGGTTTCTATCAATCGGTCAGCCTCTCTGAATCCAGACTCTACGGCTCCGTGGACGTCCCAGTGTCTATGATGCGACGTGGCTTCTCCCGCGAAGCAGACTACTGGGAACTTGTTCGGATGGCAGAGTGGTTCTGATAGAACGATGGCGCCTCCTTCTTCACCACTCTCTTCTAAGGCAACAGTACGGTAAGCGTAGGTTCCTCTTGCTAAAGGATTGATGGCCCATTGTGTCCTATAAGTAGAAAGTATATGTAGTATATGGTGGGTATGTTCATACATAATAGAGTACATTTTAGGTAGAATTTTTTGATCGATTGATTGAACTTTTATTGTAAGAATGGGGATGATGACAGGGTATGAAAATTAAAAATATAATTAGTCCGTAAGTTAGGTAATGAAAAAATATTAGACACGTATTTTTTTATTTTGTCGTATAATAAAACAATACTTAGATAAAACGAATCAAAGTTTAGGAGTGGGGGTTAAAACGTCATTTCTTAGTATAAAATGTACTGAGAAGTGACGTCACGCGACATTTCAAATCAATATATCTTCGAAACTATTCGTTTCTGTGAGAAAATAAAAAATACGTGTCTAATGTTTTTAAATAATCTATCAGACGGACATTAAAATAAAAATTTGTCGTCTACCCTATTGTAGAAGAGATATTTCAAATTTTAATTACAACTGTAATGTAGATGTTACAGTTTATAGTTTCAATGTTTTGTTTTATTTATTTATCTATCAATATCCTCAATGTAAAAGGCGCCAACAGTGTTACAGAACGACACACCCTTATTCTTTTCTAAAAAATACCATACCACAAAATATGGGCGCTTACCTCAAAATATCCTTAATAGGCGATACATCGAATTGTTTCTTGACGACAACATCCAACAGCTTCTGAATACCAGCACGAACTTCTTCGACGCTCAACTTCTCCATCTGCACAGCCCCGTTTCCATGGATCCAAGTCAATAGGACATTCGGATGGGAATCAACAGTCCAGAACCCATAAATCTCTGTGACCCATTTCTCATTTTCTCCAAATTGAGCCTTATCTTCATCTCGCCATAGTAGAGAGAACTTTGAAGGAGTTTTTGGCCACCATGGCTTTTCATATTCTACGTAGATCTTGTCCAGAACTGTCATGGTCATGTTTTGGATTGTGTTCACTTTTGATGATGGCAGTTGTGGGTAGAATAGGGACTCGTGTCTGTGAAAAAATACGATTTCAGTTTTTAATGATTCTTATAATATGGTAATGCTAATGTATGAACTTGTTTTTATTTAGAATTGATGACCAAGAGTTCTCTAACATTTTTTGAAAATACTATTTAATGTGTCTGACTGCCTCGTTGGCCGAGTGGTCGCAAGTGCGACTGCCGGGCAAGGGGTCTCGGGTTCGATTCCCGGGTCGGGCAAAATATAACTGGGTTTTAAAAAAAATCTCAGTAACAGCACGGAGTCTGGAATTGTGCCCGGTATATGGCAATAGGCTCACCCCCTATTACATGGGACTCATAACATAAATAGTGAAAAGTGGGTGTTACATTGTACAGTGGCATTAAGTGCCGTAATGTGCACCTCTGCCTACCCCTTCGGGGATAAAAGGCGTGATGTTATGTTATGTGTTATTTAATGTGTATAACTGTGTTTCACATTGTAACTGGTACCAAGACATCTGTTGAATGACCTATAAATAGATGTGCAACGGAAATATGTCTAGCCCGCAAACATTAAACTGTTATGACGCTCTACATTATAGACCAGGGCCGAATCTTCGTTCGGGGCCCCAATGGTATAACGGGCCTCATGATTATTAACTTTTGTAATCGATTTTTACACTTTTTTGTCTGTCTACCACGATACTCTAAAAGGAATTGTCTTGAATTAAATTTCAGTTTGAATAAAGATATCTAATATCGTCCAAATGTAAAGCAAACCTAATCGATCACTTCAATTCGAAAGGGCCCAGCGCGCCAAAAATAGGCAGTCCGTCCCTGTATCGACGTTACTTTCGTTTACTTAGAAGTGTTAACTGAAATAGCGTTTGACGCCTAATGGATGATAAATCAAGAAACGATGGTAAGTGCAGGAACCTATTTTTGTTTTAAATGTTTTACGAAAGAGGTCGTTGTCGTTGCGTACTCTGTAGGGTAGTGGCTGACATTGGTTATGTCATTCCTTTTATTTCCCTTAACCGGAGAAGATTCTGGATCCAAGGGACCAGAACGGGACGGGTCATTACCTCCCCTCAAAAGAAAGCTAGGAAGATGAAGTGCTTTCTAAATAATATAAGTATCTCACCTCTCCTGCAAAACACCAATAGACATGGTAACAATGACACTCTTGGCCTGGTATAGGCTTCCGTCCTTGCACTTGACTTGCACCATTGGGTTAGTGGGGTCAATGCCAAGCTGGGTGACGCCCCATCGAATGTTTTCCACTTCCTTGTTCAAAAGAATCTGTAGAGGAACCTCCTTGGAAGGATCAGGGTATTTGTTCTGGAAAAATAGAAAGTTCGCATTAGTATTGGATTTTGATGTGACCACAAAATAATAAGTTTTGATGATCTGTGCCAAAGAAACCTAAAGCCTTTTAATGATTATTTTTTTAAGGGACAAGCCCGCCACAACCTTCCAAAACCGCTGCAACTCCGTAAGCCAGGATCTACAGTAGATACAACCTTGAAAACACCGGAACATTGAAGTCCGGCGCGTCCCAGGGACATGAGTAACTGTTTTAGTTCCCGCAACGAAGTAAATCAGAAGATATTATAAGAGGAGAAGAAGAAAAAAAAAAGCTATTAAGGAATCGTTAAGATTTGGATTATCTTTAGCAACGATTATGATATTGCGTACTCACCATCAACACATCCAAAATGGTCTTGTACCCTCTGCCCTTCCATGTTAGGAAAGCATCACCCTCACTTAGCCAGAATTCCTCAAGACAGCGCAAAGACTTCCCTTGCTTCTGGTCGTCCTGTCCACCCACATGGTTGTTTCTTTCATACCATTCAATGAACGGAATTGCTAATTGAGGTTCCTTCTTCAGTGTGTCATTGGTATTGGCTCTGAAATATGAACGAAATTTGTGAAATTTTTCAGAAGATAATGTTTTCACAATGGCTAGTAACAAGTACATAACAAAATCCCCAAAAGGACCATTTTAAAAATTCTATGTAGATACTTACGCGCCCCTGATATGCTGCGAGATAGACTTCTTGACTCGCTTGTCAGCAGTCTCCAACTCGTTGTCCAAAGCCTTCACGATCTCACCAGCTTTGTCTCCTGCCACCAGCTCGCCATTAGACAAGAGGTACCAGTTGGTTTCTGGTGGTGATCTGCCTAGAAGACCCAGTGGGTTCGCGATTTCGAAGACCACGTTGTCTTTCTCGCCGTGGCACCTGTAAGTAGTTGCATTGAATTACAATACAATTCTGTTGGCCGTAGAATTGTAGATTACAATCCTAAATTGAGGCAGGGTGTAGTTTTAAAATCAGTTTTTAAACAAAAATGGTATTCACAAAGAATGCCATAAGCTGTTAATTCAATGTCAATCGTTTTCGTATCTTATTGATGGCAATCAAGAACTGAAATCTTAATTTTAAATTGTCCAGAGTTATTAGAAGGTTGTTAGGATAATTCGATATCTATATTTCTAATTAGGCACTTACCAAGCAGCTCCAATGTCAATAGGTTTCCCGCCAAATTCGACAGTTAAGATTCTCCCGCCGATTCTGTCGCCAGCCTCAAGGCCGAGGACTTGCAGACCAGCGTCATGCAGCTTCCTCATAGCTGCAATGCCCGCTGCTCCGCAGCCAATTACAATAACGTCCATTATTCGCCTGGAAATAAAGATAAGAACTAATAAGAACCTATAATATCGTAAAGAGCATGTTAGGTCATTGCATCGTGTGTTACAAAGGATGCTATAAATGGAAACTCTTTTGGAACAATAGAGGTATTTGTATTTAGATTGAACAAATTTTCCATGCATTGAGAATGTTCGAAGTATACCTATTCAGAAGTTTCGTATTTTTACCTATTCAGAAGTTTCGTATTTTTTCGTATTTTATACACAACTTCATGGCAGACAGACGATCTGGGTGCTTACCTACTCTTGAAATCAATATCAATGTCAATGCAATTTCAATCCAATAAAATCTCAATAATTATCCAATATAATATAGAAAATATTTAAAATATGTATAAGAGTGGTAGCATGGAGTCTGGAAATGTACCCGGTATATGGCAATAGGCTTACCCCCTAAAACATGGGACTCATAACATAAATAGTGAAAAGTGGGTGTTACTTCTGTGTGCACCTCTGCTTACCCCTTCGGGGATAAGAGGCGTTATGTTATGTTATGTAATTATCCAATGCCAAAACTATACAACCCCTATCGTAGCTGCTAAAGTAGCATTTAGAGTACGGAATATAAAATTAAAACCAAACTCAATACCATTTAGTTCATGAAATATCCACGCAATACGGATACAAAAGGCGTTAGTGTTACAACTCAAGAGTACGAAATTTCACAATGTCAATGTCGATCGATCGGAATTGGATTCAAGAGTAAGCACCCTGATAGTAATATATGTCATAGGGAGTTGCTGGTTACTGATTACTTCCAAGTTGGACGTTGGAAGTTCTAACTGACCGATTTGGGAAGTCGAATGACGAAGTGATGGTGGTAAGTTTTTTAAACTTATCAGTACCTACAACCGATTTTTTGGACAATGAAACAATACTCTTTCGTGGTAATACTTATTACCACGAAAGAGTATTGTTTAGATAATTACTTAATTATCTACATAAAATAACATCACGCCTTTTATCCCCGAAGGGGTAGGCAGAGGTGCACAATACGGCACTTAATGCCACTGTACAATGTAACACCCACTTTTTACCTAATTACCTACTATAACTTAAATTCTCTGTTTATACTTGCGTTATCGGTTTTATTCATTATCATTGGTTCTATTTATAAATTCGCATGGTATTCGCATATCTAAACAAAATAATTAGCTCTTAAAATTCAATAATATGTAAATAAACATTTCGATTTTGCCTTGATATTTACAAGGTCATTAATGTCAGATACAAAAAATAAGTTAACCTATAAAAGCCGAAATCGACTTAGGCTTTGTCGAATAACTAAGGAAATAAATAAGGGAGGCCTAGTTTGGATATTCACTACCTAATTTAGAACAATCAGCGACTTAAAATATCTATCCACACACCATTTGTAGCCTAAAAAGCCAAAAACCTCAAAAAATACGCTGACAACATTTAAAAACAAATAAAAAAAGAATTCTGAAACCAAAAACGCTTTCCATTCTACATTCAAAATTAATTCGAATTCCATTTACAATTTAAAAACAAATAGAACTTCCTTTTTTATTGGATTAGCTTACTTACGCCACTTTTGCGGATTAATAAATTCCCTTGTCTATATCACAACACGGCTAGATGTAAACTAAAGATTCATCTGTTTATTCATTCGATATCTCATGTTATTTTATTACACATTATTACGTAACAATCGTCGATCGTGATCCGACGATCACGATCTTATGCGACACGTTATCAATTTTTCGTCAATAGCTTTGTTCGATGTTTGTATGACTGAATGAATGTTCTAAATGTAATGTAAGTATTTAATTTGGATGTAATTAACATGTAATTTGGCTTCAATGGTGGAATTTTGTCGTTGTGTGTGGAACGAGTTTTTCTTGTTTCGATATCTGAAGTATGTGGGTGACATTGTCTTTTTTCGTCAGGTTTTCAATTTTTGAAATTGTCTAGTCCATAGTCGATTCTATTCAGGTTTCGTAAACAATGTTTGCTTCAATATTTTCTGTATATAATGAACAAGTTACAGTATACAATGCCTACTCTCATTTGGAATGTCGCGGAGAACCTAACGGGTAACCGGGGCTCCGGCTCGACGTGCAGGAGAAGGAACGGGGTGGTTTTTAGTCAGTAAGAGTCTGACACTCCCTTCCGCCTCACCCAGGCGGGAGCAGTCATTCGATGATTTTCCCCCCTTAAAAAAAAACTCTCATTTGGAATTTTATAAAGTTAATTACGATCTTTTTTTTATACCATAAGCCGGTAAACGAGCAGACGGATAACCTGATGGTAAGCAATCGACGCCGCCCATGGGCACCGAAAATACCAAGGCGTTACAAGTGCGTTACCGGCCTTTTGGGAATTGAGAATTTGAGGATTGTGGATGGAGGATTTGGGAATTCGAGAGACTAGGGAATTAGGCCTCCGGTAACCTCACTCACACGACGAAACACAACGCAAGTGTTGTTTCACGTCGGTTTTCTGTGAGGCCGTGGTATCACTCCGGTCGAGCTGGCCCATTCGTGCCGAAGCACGGCTCTCCCACACTTAACATCTAAGTTAATTTATACTTGAACTTTCCTACTTTCTACTTTATGATTAAGACATTGATGATAGTATGTGCCACAGTCACATTCAGGCCTACCCACTTACGCAGCGATTTTACCTTCTCATACATCGATAGGGAGGTACCTACCTATAATAGTACTTAGGTAGATCTTTATTGTTTTCTATCCCTTCATACATATTAACGATGAAGTGACAAGAACTCCCAACTGACATTTTTGCGATTTTACTTTTTTTATGTAGATAGACTTTAAATAATTGTTTGCGTGAGGTGAGCAGGCAATAGTTTTTTTCGTTTCCTGTAAAATCATGTTCTGGTAGATAGAGGTTCTTGTTACTTCATCGTCGATTTAAACTGTCAAACACCAAGCGGTCACCGGTGACCGCGACCTATTGTTCTTTAATTGTGTCTATAAAACCGGTACTCGACGAGTTAAAGTCTATCTACGTAAAAAAGTAAAATCACAAAAATGTCAGTTACGAGTTCTTGTCACTTCATCGTCGATATACCGGTAGATACATAATTCCTTTTTAGTTAGTACCTAAGTAGGTACCTATTGCTTACTTTACTAGGCCTATGTAACAGAGCTTGGTAGAACGACTGCTAACAGGATCAGCGGCATTCTTAAACCCATCCCTGTGACACGCGACCGACTGGTAGGCTCGCCATGCGTTTTGTTCTTATACGGATGGTATTGGGAGTAAATAGAAAAGAATTCGTTTTTTAATTAACAATGAAACATTATTATGTTTACATCACGCCTTTTATCCTCAAAGGGGTAGGCAGAGGTGCACTTTATGCTACTGTACAATGTAACACCCACTTTTCACTATTTATGTTATGAGTCCCATGTAATCGCAATTGCGACTACTCGGCCAACGAGGCAGTTATTTTAATTAACAATGCTCGGTACAAAATTCGTTGATATAATTTAAAGATTAAAGTTGGTGTGTCCATAGGCGCCGCCGCTTACCGGCCTATCTCATTAAAAAAATGTCGTAAGTGATGTTTTAATGGGTAAAAAATTAAGACTAAAAAGGAAAGATGAGCCATGTACACTTATTGCCTAACGATTATTAACAGGAAAATTACAGGCTAAACATTTTTTATATTCGATTAAAAAGTGAGCTAACTACCCGATTACTATCCGATTACTGAAAGTTGGTCCTTTGGTACTAGGTATATTAAAATATTGCAAGGCAATTTTATCTTTTATCATAAACTCTTTACTTATGCAGAAAGCTGCTCATGAATATGACCCTCTAGCATGGCTTGAAACTAGTCGAGTTTCTCGTCAAATAATTACCTACGTGATTAAGCCGAAAAACATAAAAAAAGAAAGAGAAAGAAAAAACATTTATTCGACAGTAGGCACGCCCACAGATACAAAAAAAAATACAAAATTAAAAAAGAAAAGAACAAATAAATACACATATTTAAATAGATATAGAAAAAAAAAACACAAAGAAACGACAGAGTATAATAACACAGTGACAATACAATAATTATAATAATAACACAGTAATTAAAAGTAATAATAATTAACTGTTTACTTCTCATATCTATTTCGAAGACTTGCGATATGCACTGTTTATCAAGTTTCTAGTCTAGAACAATCAGAGTTCTATAGAATCCCATAGAACTCTGATTGATGGTCACTCGATAAAAGATGCAAGTTTTTGCTTGACGAGCGGACAACGTCCTCTGTTGCTTACGTAACATGTTACTACTACAACAACACTACTAGTTTCTTGGAACACTATCTTGTAAGTGGACAAGTAAATAATAACATAACATCATCGCGCCTTTTATCTGCGAAGGGGTAGAGGTGCACATTACGGCACTTAATGCCACTGAAGAAAGTAACACCCACTTTTCACTATTTATGTTATGAGTTTCATGTAATAGGGGGTGAGGCTATTGCCATATACCGGGCACAATTCCAGACTCCGTGCTACTACTGCGTTTTCTTAAAAAACTCAGTAATTATAACAGTACTCCGGCATTAATATAGTAGATAAGTGCATATAATAATTAAAAATAAATGACTATTAATTACCTATTTCTAGGCGTAGGTGAAGTGTTATTTGTTCACATGTAAATAGAATCACTGATTAAAAGGACAATAAGTTGTTTTGACACAATGGTAATTGGTAATCCTTTTGGGATTGGATTGTTAATTAATGACTAAAATACACCCAGTAAAGTAGGCTACAAAATAGGGGTTAGCATATTCAAGTAAATTGTCAAAAGGACCAAATGTCAACCGAAAGGACGCAATGTTGCTACATATCCATTAATATCTATACATACCTAAATATACCTCTAAAAAGTATCTTGTAGCTTTGGTCAACATCACTTCTGAAATATCTGATAAAGAACGTATACCTAAATACAAACGTCTTGAACCTAAGTT